ACTGGGGGATTCTAGGCAGGAGCTCTACCACTGAGCCACACCCCAGCCCCTCACTGGGGGATTCTAGGCAGGTGCTCTACCACTGAGCTGCACTCCCTATATCCCCCCCAGGAGATTTCAGCTAGTTGTTCTACCATTGTACTACATCTCTACCCTCTTTTCTCTCTCTCTCTTTTTGAGATTAAGAAAATTATTTTTATCAACATTTATGTTTGCATGTGCCCATGAATGTAGGTGCCCATGGAGTCTGGAGGCCAGAGGTATTGAATTCCCTGCAGCTGGTATTATAGGCTGTTGTGTCAGCTGATATGAATACTGGAAACTGTCCTCTATAAGAATAATATGTGTTCTTAACCACTGAACTAATTTTTTAAATAATTTTTTATAAAATTATATATAAAATTTTATAAAATTATATATAAAAATTTTATAATTTTTTTATAAATTTAATTTTTTAATAAATCTTTTTAAAATTTTTATTGAGCTATATCTTTTTAAAAATGTTTATTTATTTACTATGTATATCGTATTCTGCCTGCACACCAGGAAAGGGCACCAGATCTCATTACAGATGGCTGTGAGCCACCATGTGGTTGCTAGGAATTGAACTCAGGACCTCTGGAAGGTGCTTTTAACTCTGAGCCATTTCTCTAAGCCAACTTTAATATTTTCTTTTTAATTTTTTTTAAGACAAGGTCATACTATATAGCCTTGGCAGGCCTTGGACTCACGGAGTTTGCCTGCTTCTGCCTACTAAGTGCTAGGATTAAAAATGTGTGCCACTGGGGCTGGCGAGATGGCTCAGTGGTTAAGAGCACTGACTGCTCTTCCAGAGGACAGGGATTCAATTCCCAGCACCCACATGGCAGCTCGCAGCTGTCTGTAACTCCAGTTCCAGAGAATCTGACATCATTCTACCAATGTACATGAAATAAGGTTAAATAAAGTTTAAAAAAAAATGTGTGCCACTCTGCTTTACCCTCTTTTTTTTTTTTTTTTTTTCTGAGACAGGGTTTCTCTGTAGCTTTGGAGCCCGTCCTGGAACTAGCTCTTGTACACCAGGCTGGCCTCGAACTCACAGAGATCCGCCTGCCTCTGCCTCCCACATGCTGGGATTAAAGACGTGCGCCACCACTGCCCGCGCTTTACCCTCTTTTTACTTTTTATTTTGAGATAGGTTCTCGTTAAGCTGCCCAGATTGGCTTTGAGCCAATCTGTACGCCTCAAGGAGCTTAAACTTCTCTCTCTCTCTCTTTCTTTCTTTTAATTTTTTAAAAAATATTTATTTATTTATTATGCATACAATATTCTGTCTGTGTGTATGTCTGCAGGCCAGAAGTGGGCACCAGACCTCATTACAGATGGTTGTGAGCCACCGTGTGGTTGCCGGGAATTGAATTCAGGACCTTTGGAAGAGCAGGCAATGCTCTTAACCACTGAGCATTCTCTCCAGCCCCCCTTTCTTTTAATTTTTTGAGACAGGGTTTCTCTATGTAGCCCTGACTGTCCTGGAACTTGCTTTGTAGACCAGGCTGGCCTCAAACTCACTGATATCCACCTGCCTCTGCCTCCTGAGTGCAGGGATTAAAGGCGTGTACCACCCCCACCTGGTGAGGGGCTTAAATTTTTAATTCACTTTCCTCAGGTTCCTGAGTAGCTGGCATACCAGGCCTGTATTCTGAAACAAAGTTCTGATGACAGCCTGTATCTTGGCCAGGACCTTGTGGTCTTCCCATCCTGGGTTCCTTCTGTTGGAATGTTGGCATGTAGGCATTAAGGAGGCTTAGAGTGTGACAGAGGTCTGAGGTGTGGAGAAAACTTAGGTTGACACTCATTGTTCAGGGCGCTGGATGTTGTTGGTACTCTGTATGGATGCTAATGGACATCAGAGGGTCAGATGTGGCTATGACCAGCTTTCCTACAGGACCTGGCCGTGACCCACGTCTGTGTCAGTGATGAAGAGCACAAGCAGGCCTTTGGCCGGGATGCTTGTGAGAGTGTGTGTTGTCTGTTCACCGCGTGCTCCAGGAGAGTGGGCTCTGTTCTGCCCTGAGTAGCACCTGCGAGGTGCCCTGCCCTTACTTTCTCTTCCGTCTCTGTGTGTGAAAGCAATGCTTGGGTACGTAGTCTGCATGCAGACAGGACCCCAGTGAGCAGCCAGTTTTCTCCACTTGCAGAGGATTAGTTCCTTGAAGGCGCGTGTCTCTGAGCTGCAGTTAAGTGCGATGGACCAGAAGGTGCAGGTGAAGCGCCTGGAGTCTGAGAAGCAGGAACTGAAGGAGCAGCTGGACCTGCAGCAGCGGTGAGAGCATGGCTAACCTGTGTCAGTCCCCAAGACAACCGTGTCTCAGACCACACAAGGCACACACAGTGAGGCCTCTGGACTTGGGAAGTGAGCCTCAGAATAAGGGGGTAACGACTTAGTTCTTTTTTTCCTTGGGTGAAGTGCCTTCTTGGAGCTGGCTTCCAGAGGAAGGCCAAGCTGAGTTAGGTTTTGAGGGCACGGGTTGCTGTTCTAGGTCACAGTGGACACAGATATATGGTGGTTAGTAGTAGGTGATAGTCAGGAGACTTTGGATTCTGCCGTGAAGGTCTGACCCTTACCCTAAGCAGGCGTTTCCTGAGGAATGTTCTACCCCTAGTATGGGCAGGCCCCTGGTGGTCTCTTATGCCGGCAGCAGCACCATGGCTGACTAACACCATGGACTGAGTGGTGGACAGAGAACTAGGTAATGCCACAGCTAGCCTGGGCTCCCTTGTAACTTCATCAATGTCCCAGTCTTAGAGCCTGTGCAGAGGCTGGCCCAGGACTTGGGGTCTCCCTGCATAAGATGTGTGTGCTTGCATTCATCCTGGGGCTCAGGCTGAGGGACATTATGGGCTGGCCTTGCATGTACTTTCCCTTTCTTTCATAGGAAATGTCAGGAGGCAAATCAGAAGATCCAGGAGCTTCAGGCCAGTCAAGAAGAGAGAACTGACCAGGAACAGAAGATTAAGGTAGGCGTTTCCTGTCGGCCCAGGCAGGTTCGTGTACTGAGCAGGGATAGGACCAGCCCTCCTGTCAATCACAGACCTTCCTGAATGGAGGCGTGCTCAGTGGCACGTGAAGGTGCAGGCTGATTATTTTGTGGATGCCAGGTCCTGTGCTGACTGGCAAGGGAGGCCACAGTGAGTGATCAAGGAAGCTGGCACCTAGTGATGAAGGCCCACCAGAAACCCATGGGAGGAGGTAACACAGAGTACTATGCAGTTGAGGCTTAGAGAGGCGGGGCCAGGACACATGTGTGACTCCAGAGAGGCTGAGAGGGGAAGATCACAAGTTTGAGACCAGCTTGTAGCTTGTACTACAAGAAGGAGTTTTTCCATGGCCAGAGCATGGCTGAGATAGGTCACTCAGCCAGGGCTGTCTGGTTTAAGGTCAGGCTCCTTTACTCTAGTGCAGGACTTCTCAACCATGGGTTGTGAGTGACCCTTTCACAGAGTTGCGTAAGACCATCAGGAAGCACAGATATTTATATTATGATTCGTAATAGTAGAAAGGTTACAGTTATGAAGTAACAACAAAAGTAATATTGTGGTTGGGGGTCACCACAGCATGAGGAACTGCGTGAGGAAGGCTGAGAACCACTACTCTAGAGGGTGTTGCTGGAGATCTGGTGCCTTGAGCTTCTTCTGTGGCTTCCTGTTGCCTTTAGGGTATTATCCAGTGCCAGGAAGGAGGGCTGTGTCAGTTGTCTCCCTGCTGCCTCTGCTGTGTGTGTGTGTTGGGGGAGGGGCAGCTCCAAGGTAGAGGGTGGGCTTTGCTCCTTATGCCTCTGGCTACTTTTTTTTTTTTAAGATTTATTTATTATGTATACTGTGTTCTCTCTGCATATATTCCTGCAGACTGGAAGAGGGCACCAGATCTCATTATAGATGGTTGTGAGCCACCATGTGGTTGCTGGGAATTGAACTCAGGACTTCTGGAAGAGCAGCCAGTGCTCCTAACCGCTGAGCCATCTCTTCAGCCCATCTCTGGCTACTTTTTTTTTTTTTTAACCTGGCTCTGTTGTCTCTTTTTTTTATTTATTTGCTTAAATATTTATTTCTATTTCTATATATGTGTGGGTGTGGGTTATCTGCAGGGACCAGAAGAGATCTGGAGTTGGAGCTAGGGGCAGTTGTGAGCTGCCTGTTTGGGTCCTGAGAACTGAATTTGGGTTCTCTGGCAGAGCAGCAGGTACTCTTAATTGCTGAGCCATCTCTCTAGACCCCACTCCCTGCCTTCTTAGTTACCGTCTTCCTAGTTCTTGTTCCTTCTGTAGCCCTTGGCCCACCTCTCATTATTTCCTTGTTCATAGAGGTTGACCAGTAGTTGGTCCTCTCTGTCACTCTGTTCTCACCACTTGGATGGAGCTGGGCACCATGAAGGTTTGTTCAGTTGATTTGATTCTGGTTTATATACAGCCTATTCAGTGACTTGTCACTAGATTCCAGTGTTTACCTTGTGGAGGGCCAGGGTGACAGGTGCAATGTCAGAAGGTCTGTCACACAGTGGGAGCAAAAGCAACTGTTGCAGGTTCACCACTGGTACAACAGAAGTCAACTACAGGCAGCTGTGCTGTGAGCTGCATTTAGGCCAGAAGTGCCATAGGCACCTGCTGTTGGGGACCAGAGGGCCCCACATCTGGAGGGGATGTGGATAGGCACAGGCAGAAGGACAGCGGTGCGTGTGCTGGCCCTGAGATGCAGTCCAGGGCTGCTCTAGAGGTGATGATGAGATCGCCTCTGAGCAGCATAGCAGCCTAGGCCTGAAAGGCTTCCTAGATGCTCGGGACAAGGTAGAAGACCTCTGTGGCTCCCATGGCTTTGATTAGAAAAAGATTTATTTAGTTAGAAATTAGGTGTATTTGTATCTATCTCTGTGTGGGGATGTGCATGTGAGTGTGAGGGTACATGCGTGCAGCTGTCACAGGGAGGCCAGAGATGATGCCTTCCCTGGGCCTGGAGTTACAGACAGTCATGAACTTGACATGGGTGCTGAGGACAGTGCTGTTCCTCAGGATGTTGTTCCTCACCCACCCCTTATTTTTTGTGGTGGGAGACAGGGTCTCTCACTGGACTGAGACTCTCCATTGGCCTCTCTCTGCTTAGAATTACAACTGCGTACCTCTGTTCCCAGCTTTTTTTTTCAAATTTTATTTTTAAAATTTTTATTTATTTATTTTTGAGTCAAATCTTTCTATGTAGCCCTAGCACTCCTGGAAATCTTTTTGTAGACCAGGTTGACCTTGAACTCACAGAGATCCTCCTGCCTTTGCCTCCCAGGTGCTGGAATTAAAGGCTTGTGTTACCATACCTGCTTTTTTTTTTTTTTTTTTTTTTTTTTAAACTGTGGGTTGAGTAGAGTTAGGGCCTCATGCTTCCAGAGTGGCAAGTACTTACTGACTGAGTTAGCTCCCTAGCTCCTGGCATCTCCATGTCCTCTTCTCTTTTAGTGATCCTCATGATCTCAATGTCCCAGGCCTTCTGCCTGCCCTAGGTCATTCATTCTGTAGCTGGAAGCCTGTGTTTCCTTCAGGTTAGCCTCTCTCTTTTACCGAGGCTCTGTTTTCCATGCTTCCTGGCTGCTCACTCTCCTTTTCCTCTTTGCCTCTCACAGGACCTGGAGCAGAAGCTGTGCCTGCAAGAGCAAGACGCAGCCGTGGTGAAGAGCATGAAGTCTGAGCTGCTGCGTCTGCCCAAGATAGAGCGCGAGCTGAAGAGGCTGCGTGAGGAGAACACCCATCTGAGGTGAGGGTCTGTGAGCAGCCTGCCACCCTAGCTGGGAATTGGCCGCCTGGGCTCACTGCCCCTTGGGTTCATCCTCAACATGTGTGGTTGTTGGTATAACTGTTCTGGCCCCACAGGGAGATGAAGGAGACCAACGGGCTGCTCACAGAAGAGCTGGAAGGTCTGCAGAGGAAGCTGGGCCGTCAGGAGAAGATGCAGGAAGCTCTGGTTGACCTGGAGTTGGAGAAGGAGGTGAGTAGTGGGTGAGCCATGTCTCCAGGGCTAGCCTCTGGCCTGTCTGGAGCACCCTAGGCATCTCTGTCACATCTCTGGTCAGCTATGGGGTCGCCGTGGTGGTGTCGTGGGTAGTGCAATCAGCTGAGACTCTGCAGTCACTGCTGACTGTTGCAGATAGAAGCTTCTTCCATTACAGTGGTATGTTCTATGGGCATAAATGTAGCTCTTTAGAAGGCAATTTGACAGATCCTTTATGTACAATAGTTGTTGTTTCTGTAGTAGGGTCCATGACATCCCTACCTGCCAGATGGGAGTTCCCTCTTCTGGAATGAGCATCAAATCTAATCAGAAAGCAGTTGGTTACCCTGGTAACATACCTGCCATGGTTGCACTCTTAGTCTCATTTTGCTTGGTTGCTTATTATTGTGCGTACAGGCTCTAAAGCTGAAAAAGGCTGTTGATAACAGTTCTTCCCTAGCAGCCTGCACAGTCCCTTGCAGCACCCCAAGGACTAGCTAGTAGAGAGGAAGCATCCAGCTCAGTTCTAGTGTGACTTCTCTGGTCTCCACAGTGTGTGCTGTTGTTAGCAACAATGGCTCACCATGTAATTCTGGTGGGCAACCAATAGCAGTCACAGTTTCTGTTCATTGTTTAAGAGCCTCAGAGGCCTCTCTTGACCTCTCTACCTTATGTTTTGAGACAGTCTCTCACTGAACCTGGAGCTTACTAGTTCAGCAAGGCCGGATGAGCAGTGAGCTCCAGGTCTCTGCCTGTTTGTTCTCTTGCACTGGATTTTAGGTGTCTGTTCCTATGCCCAGCTTTGGCTAGATGAGTCTTGGGGATTAACCTCAGCTTTCATGCTTGTGTGGTAAGCTCTTTGCTTAACTGAGCCATCTCCCCAGTTTCATCTCTGTCTTCTTGTGGGAGTCCAAGGCACCTGAGGGCCTGGTGGTACTACAGAGTGCTCTGTGACCAGCTGGTGCTGCAGCTCCTGTCTGTTCATGCTGTCCCAGACAGGCCTCTTTTGGAGGCTGGCTTTTGTAGGCAAACGACCTGGAGCTTTTTTTGTCCTTTCCCCTGGCATTTTGTCCAGAGAGCCTTTCTTTTGCTTTTGAATGAGGGAGTTTATTAAGTATACAGCAAGCGAAAGTAAAAGAAAAACACAGCAAGTAGCTGACAGAGAGAGGCAGCACACAGCACAGAGCATAAAGCATCCGACTGGGTGCTTACGGCATCCCGCAGGGATGACTTGCAAGTCCTGCTGGGGTTCCCAATGGAGAGTTTTGGGTGCTTCCGTCTTCACGTTCTCACCACAGGCGCTTTTATACCGTGAATAAGCAATAGTTACCTTTGCTGGATGGTCCCCATTTTAGCTATTCTAAAGGGCCAAGTTTTTGTTTTTGTTTTTCCTGAGACAGGGTTTCTCTGTGTAGCCCTGGTGGTCTTGGAACTCTCTTTGGAGACCAGACTGGCCTCAAACTCAGAGATCCAACTGCCTCTGCCTCCTGAGCGCTGGGATTAAAGGTGTGCACCCCCATGACCCAGCACCAAGTGTTTTTAATGCCATTGCAGCTCGTAGTTCTCTTCTTCCTTGTTGCAGCACCAGAGGGCCCAGCCTGTAGTTGAATTTTCTTTACTCTTTGCTCTTTGAGGCGCCCACCCCCAAGCTTCTAAATAATCACATGGAGACTTATTCTCACTTTTGAATGCCCGGCCTTAGCTTGACTTATTTCTACCAGCTTTTCTTAACTTATCCCATCGACCTTTTGCCTCTGGGCTTTCACTTTTTAAAATTTCTGTATATCTTTTCTTCTTATTTCATGTCTGGATATGTGGCTGGGTGGCTAGCTTCTGGCATCCTCCTCTCTCTTCTCTTCCTATTTATTCTCTCTTCATGCCAGCCCCACCTTTTCTCTCTCCTGCCTTGCTACTGGCCATTTAGCTCTTTATTAGACCAGTCAGGTGTTTTAGACAGTCAGTGTTACACAGCTCTAAACAAATACCACATAAAAGAATTCAACACATCTTTACATCATTAAACAAATATTCCACAGCATTAACAAATGTAACACATATTTAACTAATATTCTACAACACCAGCCTGTCCTGGGACTTGAAATAAACTGGTTGAAGTCTGAGACAAGGAAGCAAGGAAGGCCACCTTGGTCTCTGAGCCCACTTTCAACAAGTGCAAACAACACATGACATTTACCAACACAATTTATATTACACCTAGATCTAATGTTTTGTCTTTGACATTTTTTGAGGTTTAAATTGTAGAATCGCACTGCTTAGCTTGAAGTTGTGCATGAACGGTTGCTGGCTGTTGACCCCGAGTCAGTCCTATAGAAAGAAGTCAGGGCATGGCAGGGAACCACGTAGGAAATGGCCATAGGAAAGTTAGTAGCTGAGCACCTGCCCCACTCTTTTAAAGTTTTTATTTTATGTTTGTGTATGTATATGTATGTGAGAGATAGTGAGTGAATGCACATGCCATAGTGTATGTGTATGCATGTATATATGTGCGTATGTAATGTGTGTATGTATGTGAGAAAGTGAACGCACACGCCACAGTGTATGGGTGTGTGTGTGCACGTGAGAAAGTGGATGCACATACCACAGTGTATGGGTGTGTATGTATATGTATGTATGTATGTATGTATGTGAGAAAGTGAATGCCAAAAGTGAATACACATGCCATAGTGATTGGGTGTTTGTGTGTATATGTATATATGTGAAAAATGAGTGAGTGTGTCAAAGCGTATGTGTGTGTGTATGCTTGTGTGTGTATATAAGTATATATGTGAGAAAGAGCAAGTGAGTATATGTATGTACCACATTGTGTAGATGTTCCAGGACAGTAGAGAGAGTAGGTTTTCTCCTACCCTGTGCATCTGGGGATCAAACTCAATTCACCAGGCATGTTGGTGAGTCTTTCACCATCTTGCTGGCCTTCTTGCCATCTTGAGTGACTTTGTTTTGTGGGGTTCAAGCTGGTATAGAACAGGTACACAGGTGTAGTATGGCTGGCTAGATCTATCTAAGTCATCCATGGTCCTGACCTACCATAGAATTGGGGGAAAACTTGGCTCTAGAGTGGAGTTCATTTGCCTAGGGCTTAGCATTCTGAGAGAGGCCCCTGGAAGGTCAAGGGAGATCAGTCTTTGTGAATAAAGACTGAGTTTGCACTCAGCCCAGGCTTCTGCAGGACTGTGGCACCCTTACAATGCTAGGAATGTGCCTGGCCTGGCAGAAAAGAGCAAGGCCTAGGCGAATCATGTACCTTCATCTGCTAAAGTCACACAACCACCTCTGATCTCAGATAGGATGGGGGACTCCAATACCTTTGTCCTTGTTAGCTTTCACAGGACAGTTGCTGGGCAAGAGACGTTGATGACTATAATTGTCTTTCTAGAAGCTGCTTGCAAAGCTGCAGAGCTGGGAGAAACTGGACCAGACCATGGGCTTGAATCTCAGGTGGGTGTGTTGCCGCTATCTCCACCCCGGGTTGCTGACTTCCAGTGCTGTGTCCTGCTTCCTGGCTCAGAGTCCTCAGAGGATAGGGCAGGCAGGCTCCCTTGTGTGCTGTGGTGAGGAGCTCTTGTTTAGGCTTAATGGGGCTTTGTATGGAAGGGAGGCCGAGCCTCATTGTGGACTGTTGAGAATCTGCATCTCCATAGAGCGGGCAGTAGCATTGCACTGGCCTGCATGTTTCCAGGACCCTGTGTATATAAGGAAACAACCGCTTTGGGGGAAAATCATTTCTTTTAGGTGATGATAACCTTTGGGGGTGAACTGAGTTCAAAGCCCATCATACTGGAAGATTCATGTCCTGCTGGGACCCCTGAAGCATCCCATGTGACTGGTCTGTGTCAGGCATGGGTGGCGAGAGGCTGAGTGGACCAGAGGCCAGAGTTGCTGGGCACTGTTTTCCAACACATAGCAAGGGCAAAGTGTTCCCTGTTGCCGTCCCATCTGTACATCGCTCTGTTCTGGGGTGCCATTCGCTGCTGACCTGCCTCATTTGTGGTTCAGTTTTGGGGTGCCCTTCAGCTGCCACCACCAGCGGTGAGCTCCTGAGCCTTGGCCTGGACGTCTGTCTTCATGGTGGCCATGTCTTTCCAGGTCCCAGGGAAGCTGGGTACTGATGGTTGAGATGGTCGGGGTGATGAGCTGTTGGAGCCGGGGCACAGCCCTGTGGGATCCGAGCAGCCCTTGTTTGAATACTTCCGGCTTGCTGGCTGTCTTTCCTGCTGCTCTGAGAAACGAGGCCAGATGGGGACCGCCTGAGCTCAGCTGTCTTATAATCACACTGTCCCCTGCTGGCTCTGGAGTCATCACCTTCCAATGGCAGCACTGCCTTCCGTTCTGTCACTTGACAGCGTCTCTTCATTTCCTCTCCAGCCATCTGCAGAAGCCTTCTTTCAGAGGCTAGCCCAGCAGGCCCAGTGCTGCATGCTTCCTCCTGGCCTCTGGGTTCGTTAGCTGCCGGCAAGGGTCCCTCCTACTCCTGAGGCTGCTCTGCCCAGACAAGACACCTCCGTGATTTCTTCCCTGTGACGGAGATCAGAGGCCCCTTATGCCCAGTTGGACCTACCCTGTTGGAACACTGGCATGCTGGTGTGCCTACGTGCCTGGTGACTGCCATGTGATACTTAGTGTCAATTGGGCCTATGGAGCCATTGCCCTTTCTGGAGGAGCAGAGGCCACATTGGCCAGGTTGCAGTGTCTGGATGCTCTGTGAGCCTTTTGGGTCTATTTCCCTAACTCTCCACCCTGTCAAGAGCTCAGCTGGTGTCTGGGAAAGTGTGTCCTTGGGTACTGTCTGGCTGCCTGTGCTAGGCAAGAGGAAGGAGTGGGTACTTACAGTGGTCCATGTTCTCATGGAAGAAGGTGGAAGACCTTTCCTGGGAGCTGCACTGCCCTGGACTTACTTCTCTTAAGGGAGGAGGAGTGTATGACTTCTCCCAGCTGTCCCCATGAGGTGCAGCAGGGTCATGTCCTTAGGGAGTGTCTCACATGGTGCCTGGCCTTTCTGGGAGGGGGAGGGCTCTTGCCTCTTTGTCCACAGTCTCCTTTTAGCTGTTATGCCCTGGGCTGCTGAGGCTGTCTGGCAGCCATTTGGGTAGAGACTCGGGTCAAATTCAGACCCTGGGTGACTTGTATTCTACCCCTGTAGCTACACTTGTTCCATGGTGGTGTGGGATGCACACCAACTGCATTAAACGTGCCTTCTTACCACAGTAACCTGGGTTTGAGCATTGAGGGTATATGCTTGAGTGTGTACTTAGAATGTGTGAAACTCTGGGTTCATTTCCTAGTAATTCTTTAAAAAGGGAGTGGGGTCTGAGATGGCTCAGTGGATGAAGCACTTACCTTGAAAACTGGACAACCTAAGGAAAATCTCTTTAATCTAGGCCAAGGTGGAAAGAGAGGACTAACCCCACAGTGTTGTCCTCTGACCACCATACGTGGTCATAGCATTTGAATACTGATACATATGTTTTAAATATGCAAGAGAAATGGAAACTAGCCGGGTACTGGTGGTGCACGCCTTTAATCCCAGCACTCAGGAGACAGAGGCAGGCGGATCTCTGTGAGTTCGAGGCCAGCCTGATCTACAAGAACTAGTTTCAGAACAGTCACCAAAGCTACACTGAGAAACCCTGTCTTGAAAAAAAAAAAAAAAAAAAACAAAAAATAAAAAAAAAACCTAGAGTTTGCAGATTCTTGAGTCTCTGGTATGATGAGAAGTTTGACTTTCTACCTTTTTTTTTTTTTTAAAGAACTCATTCATTAATTTATTTATTGTGTGGGCATGAATGTGTGAGTTCATGTGCATCACAGCATGCAGGGCCTGTGGGGGCCAGAAGAGGGTGTTGGATGCCCTGGAACTGGAGTTACAGATGGTTGTGAGCTGTCATATAGGTGCTAGAAACTGAACCTGAGACACAAAAGTAGTGAGTGCCCTTAACAGCTGGGTTGTCTCTTCAGCCCCAAGGCTTTCCCTTCTTTTTTTTATTTGTGTGCAGATTTTGGGTAGCCTTTGGAATTTTTTTTTTTTTTTTTTTTTGTGCAAGGCTGGGAGAGTGAGTGAAGTCTGGGAGCGTGGAGATTAGACTTGATGCAGGGCAGGAGCAGAAGTAATGTAAGGACTGGGGTGGGGGGGCGTTGGGAGTCATGCCAGGGCTGCGATTTGTCAGGAGAACTCATTCATTTCTTGTTCACATATTCATACGTGTATGCACGTATTCACAGACACACATGCATGCACAAGCACACATATATACACATACATGTCTGTGTGGCAGTTTAAGAATCCGCTCTTTAGCTGGAGACCTAACCAGGCTTTCAAAGCAGGCAGACACTCCTGCCTGTATGCCTGGAACATCTTGCTGCATGTCTGACCTGTGATTCTGTGGGTTCTGAGGCGCAGCTACCAGTAGGTGGCACTGCCCCCTTGATGATCAGCTTTCTTCATGGAGGCCTGATAACACCCTTGGCAGCCCATCCTGGGGCTTACTGGCCTCCTATAGGGACGTACGTCTTCACTAGGGTCAGGGGTCTTGTTTACCCAGGGATCTGGGTCCAGTGGCTGCCTGCTTATGGGCAGGCAAGTTGTTTAGCTTGTGCCTTGTCTGCCCATCTGTGACCATCATCTCCGAGAGTCCTCTGTCCCCTCGGGTCTGAGTGCTGCTGGTGTCTGGTGCAGGTCCTGTGAGGACACAGCTCTGGGCGTCCTGAGGTGCTTAGTCCTCATGTAGTCATTGCTTCCTAGTTGCTGCAATGAAATCCCGCATAGAACAACTTCAGAATGGGTTGATAATTGTTCCTGGTTTGAGTGTGAAGTTCATGAAGGTGGGGAAAGCATGGTGGCAGGAGTGTGAGGCAGCTGGGTGGTCACACTGTGTCTACAGGCAGGATGCAGAGAGATGAATGGGGGCGCTCAGCTCGCTTTCTCCTTCTTGTCCACCCCAGCTCATTGAATAGTGCCACCTACATTCAGGCTGCCTTAAAACTCCCTGGAAACACACACCTTCACAGTCATGCACAGATGTACGTCTGCTAGGTTACAGTAAATCCAGTCAAGAAGAGTGTTTTTGGCCTGGGCGAGTTCCTCATGGAATAACAGCGTCTCTCTCTGCAGTGTGATGCTCTTACGTCTGAAGAGCTTAGAGATATTAGAAGTGTTTAAGAAGTTGACAGAGGAAATCAGATGCTGAACTGCAGAGGGATTGCGATGAGTCCTATGCATTGGGCCACATGGGCTAGGAGCTGGGCTTCTACCTGTGATGTGTCAGGTGTATGCAGTCATGTGTGCTAAGTCAGACAGTTCTCTACCTGTGAGTCTATGCACAGGGTCATGTGGGGTAGGCATGCTTCTGTCTCCCTGTGGTGAGTCCCGTGTATACAGTCATATGAGCTGGAACAAACAAATTTGTACCTGATTGTATCCAGGGCAACAGGGTCACATGGGCTGGGGTGAATGGGCTTGGCTCTCTGGGATGCATCTAGTGTCATGGGTCATGTGGGCTAGGGCAGATGGTACGGTTATGGTGTGTTTATGCACAGAGTCACATGGGGCAGGACACAGTTCTTTCTACCTGTGCTGTGTCCAGTCCATGGGGTCATGTAAGCTGGGACGGATGTACACGATCATTTGGCCTGGGAGTAGACAGGCTTTGTGACATGGAGAGTAATGGACAGGAAAGAGTCTGGCAGTGTATACATATGATGCTGTGGCATGGGACTGGCTCTCTTTGTTATAGGGATTATTGGTGCTAGTGAGCTTGTGACCTTCTTAATCCTCAAGGGCTTTGGAGTTTGGCACAGTGTTGGCATAGAGGGTATGGAGAGTGTGACATCTTCACGCTAGTTTCCCAGAGTAGACTGTGGGAAGGACTTATAGTATGGAGAGTGAGTGACAGGCAGTCTCTTGCACAGGACAATGTGGCTGTGGAGTAGTGGAGAGAGGCTGGCAGGGAGGGTGGAGGAGGAGTGCAGGGCACTAATCTTGAGGAAAATCAGCTGTTTTCATGGAGCATTTCAAGCTGGGAGATTGGTTAACAACCCAGGACTTGCTTTGAATGGGAACTTTGAGCACTCTAGGAAAGAAGAGATTCCGTAGTCAGATAGAAGGCTCCTGTAAACAACTGCCATGAAGGTAATACTGGTGGCCGCACGCGAGGGATGAGGTGTGTGTTCTCAGCACTGGAGATGCTGGGCTGGGTACTGCCCCTCACTGGGATGATGCCACGTGTTTTTACCTTCCTACTTAATGTCCTTACCTGTGTGACTAGGTAATTAAAGAGCAGGCCATCCTGGGACTGAGTGGTGGTTCCTTGGGTATGTGCGCTGGACCTGAGTTCCAGGTATCAACACCCACATAAAAAGCCAGGCATGGCTGCATGTGCCTGCAACCCTCGCACTGTGAGAGGCAGGGCGAGATCGCTGGGGCTTGTTGTCTGCTAGCCAAG